CAATCTTTGTATTCCTGATTTTAGAAGCTAAATTTCTCAACTGTATGAATACTTTTTAAACATCCAAACAATACAATTTTTAATTTTTACTTATTTTTTAAATGATATATTTTCTATAATTAATACATCTTTTTGGTACATATAATTTTAAGAAACATACAATCTATTTTATTCTTTATAAATAAATTTAATTAATTTCTCGGCAAGAAATGATCAATTAAACATCGAATCGACGTCAAATTGGTGTTGAAATCATTGTATCGATATCAATTTGACATCAATTCAATAACTCATTTCTCGCTGGATAATATTTACTTTTAAAAAAATTTTTTTTTTTTATATTTTTTTGTACAAATACTTTTTGTACTCACTGTATATATTTAAATCTTTGATTTCTGCATAATTTTTTATAAAAAATTTTCCTGTGCTCATATTATCCCTAAGAATACTCATATTAGCTTATCCAGAGAGTAATATGAGCACTGGGCGGGCAATAAAAGCACCCGTCACCATTTCAACATTTGCATTAAAATAATCAATTTCAATACTAAGATAACATAAAACATCAACAAAGCTATCAAATGGCATGTATACAATTTTTTTATTCTTCAGTATGCTAGATATATCAAAATGTTTCCTTAAGGCTCATAATACTCAATCGTACCCTATTAATAAGAATTCATTTTCTATTTCAAATTTATGAAAATTTTCGAAACTATATCTTAAACATTTTTAAATTTTATAAGTTTTCAGAAATTTCAGAAATCTTAGAATATTTCAAAATTCACATATATGAAGAATTTTAGAAAAGATTTATAGACTTCTTCACTTCTAAAAACATTCCAATTTTTATTTTGAAAAATTTTCTAAAAAATTATACAAAAATTCTGAAAAAATTCTGATATCTATAAATTTTGAAAAATTACATAAAAAGTTTTAAGGAAAATTTTCAGATTTATCAGATTCTTATCTGTAAAAGTATGGATGCACCGGATATCCAAAAAATATCCGCTATCCGGTACTATTCCGCACTTTTTTTTACTATCCAACTGGATAGTCGAATATCATTAGTATCCGGGAATACATCCGGTTGAAATTTGATATCATTAAATTGTTGATTTTTTCTTATACAAATACTTATTTCTAGAAATAAGTATGCATATTCATGATGCTATATCTTATACATTATTGCAAAATTACAATCTTTTTCTCTATAGAATTTTTTTTTAGAAGACACTTTCTCGGAATCCGATCGGATATCCGACTCGAAAAAATTACCTTCTCGGATATTCGATTGAATGCCGGATATGCAATGTTACATTCTGTCCGGATATCCGATATCCGGTAATTTTACGATCCGGTGCATTCCTATGTAAAATTATAAATCATACTACGGCCCATATCTATCAATATAAATTCTCTTTAAGTTCGATTCAACTTATACTTCATCTTTTTCTAGCTCTAAGAATTAGAAAAAGATAAAGATCGAGTAAGTTGAATTGAGATCAAAGTTAATTTACACTGATAAAAACGGGTATCTATGAATTCACTCCGTTATAGATTTGAAGAAGAGCAGCGAATAATACGCGAAAAGGAGGAGGCGAAGATGAGAAAGGCGCAAGCCATGCGCGAGGTGTTGGAAGCTGCGGAACGGTTGGCAAAAGAAGATCGAAAGAATCGACGAAAGCGAGAGGAACACACCGATGAAGATACTGACGTTGTGACGCAATTTTCCAACGAGTCGAACATGATAACAAACATAAGCGACAAGCACGAAGAAGAGAACTGTTCGCAAGCGCAAAAGCAAAGCGCAAGTTCGATCAATCATCCTGAAGAAAAGTCTAGCCTGAAGGATGCCAAAGAGACCGACAATTGTCGGGAAAGCGAGAACGATAAAAATCCGAGAGAAATTTGTCCACGGAAAAATTACGCAGACAAATCGGAAGAAACCATGCTGGACCTAAATCCGAGATCTCTCCAGATGCCCGTGAGCAAGGACGTAGCGATCGTGCTGAGTGGTCGGCTGGAGGATCCTGAAATCCTAAGTAGGGCGAATCTGCAACTGGTGAATCTGGTGATGACGCCAAGCCCGCGCAAATTCGTAGAAAGCGCCGCAGATTATTTCTCACTCGGGCTCAATACAATCATGAGGAATAACACAAGTCCCAAGAATCCGAGGAGGTCATCGAGGGACGCCTCGTCGACTGTTGTGGAGAACAGACTGTTGACGCCGAGCAAATACAGAATGCCAGCCGGTCGGGACTTCGGCACTCAGACAGATGTGGAATCCGACGTCCAGGAGCTACGGGAGAAACTACAGGATCAGTCGATCGGAGACCAAGATACCATGAAGGAGCGGAAGGATACGACAAACGCCAACCGTAGAAACGTTGAAAAGTGAGTCGCCATCTCGATGTCGCATTTCCGGGCTTCTTAGAGGTCGAAACCAACGACTGCGTTCTCCCCTGCATGCGGTAGTATCTGTCGGTAATTATCGTTTTTATTTCATACTGTATAGTTCAATAATAAGGTTGATGATCGTAAAGACGCTTTACCGTGAAATGTCTGCCGATTCGCGCGAGGAAAATACCCAGTAAGTTGAATGCTCTTAATTGATTCTCTTAAGAGGATATAAAGCGTAACTCTAAAGCCCGATATCCACAATGCTAGAAAGCGGTCCGAGATTTTGGACAGAGAAAAAATTAACAAATCACATTTGAACAATTTGATCATATGACCATTGCAATTGGTCAATTCTTTCTTCGTCCGATTTCTAGCATCGTGGACACAAGGCTTTACACTTGATTTTCCTTAATTTACGTTATTGGTGATATTATTTTTTTTTGGACTTTTGCTTAAGTTTTCTGCTTCAAATTCGAATGCATCTTAGCTAATGCTAAACAATTAAGTTTAAACCTGCTATCATTCTCACCTGACAGAAAACGCTTAAAAAATTTATCAATAAAATTAATTACGATACTTTAGTATGATTGTAATTGTTTGAAGATCAAATAATATGGGTCCTGGCGAAGAAATTCCTGTAAAAACTCTTCCGCGAGCCAAATCACAGCCCAGAACTACGCTCGATAGCAGACCGCGGTGGAACGCCAATCGGTAATTAAAGATATTACAAAAGCTATTAGGACTATATTCTGTAACTCTTAACGATTATAACAATATCGTTACAACCATTAAGAATTACAGAATAGGTCCTTATTAATCCTCCGGAGCTAACGTCAAAAAATTTGTAACATGATTACTGACAACTAAAACTCATTTAATACCTATATGTTAATTAAAAGGCATTATTAATTTTGAGAAATTAAAATGGCATTACTTATATAAAAAAAAATGAATACTAAGTTTATTTCAATAAGAATAATCCAAATTTGCAAATGTATAACATAAAGAAATTTAAATTTATTAAACTCTTTGAAATTTTTGTGTAAAATGGCAACATAATTAATAATGCATTTTTTATCTTAACATTACTTCACAAAGAAAGCTGTATTATTTTTACTTATCAAAAATTGTTTTCACTTATCTTTGTTATTCAAATAATCAATGCATAATAGGTCCCACCATCAGTTGCCGAGAAATAATTTTTCATATAATTTTTCAGAATTTTTATATATATTATAGTTTAAAATTTTTCAGAATTTCTAATTAATTTTATAACTTTTTAGAAAATTTCTTATACAACACTTTTCAGAAGTGCCAAGATCGAAAGCTGACACACATATCTTTTCTAGAATTCTTCCTATATATTATTACATGTATAGGGTGAGGCATCTAAAACAGGCCACCTGAATAACTCGCTTATTTTTAACAATAGAAGGAAAAGTATCAAACAAAAGTTGCATGATTTCAAGGGAGAAATATTTTGGTCTGTTATCTTTCTTCTAGATGGAGACGCTAAAAAGATATGAAGATCACCCCCACTTTTTTAAATAGAATTGTATGATTTTTTTTACACCATATGGTTCCTCTAATTATTCTGTACATAAAAGTAGGTATTTTAAAATATCTCGTAAACTATTGGTTTTTTGATATCACTATCTTAATACTTTTATGTCAGAATAATTAGAGAAATCATGTTGAAAAAAAATAATATAATTCTGTTTAAAAAAGTGGAGGCGACCTTTATATCTTTTAGTGCCTCTATCTAGAAGAAAAACAACATGACCAAAATACGTTTCTCTTGAAAACATGCAACTTTTGTTTGGCACTTTTCCTTCTATTGTTAAAAACAAGCGAGTTATTCAAGTTGTTAGATGTCTCACCCTGTATGTACGCAGGGAGAAACATTTAAAACAGGTCACCTAAATAACTCGCTTGTTTTTAATAATAGAAGAAAAAGTATCAAACAAAAGTTACTTGGTTTCGAGGGGCACATAATGCGATGTCAATAATTATTTTCTAGGTGAAAGCGTAAAGGATAGGCAAAGGTCAAATCTGTTTTTTTAAATGGAATGATATGTTTTTTTATTTATTCTGATAAAGCATTTTAAGATGAATACAATGACCTATAATTGAAGGTCATTCAAGATTACGTAAGATCAATAATAAAAAATAATTGAATGTAATGAAAAATAAATTGTTTCACAAGACACTCTTCGAATAATTTCGTGTCTTCTCTTCTTGTTCGTATACCGCTAATCGTTTAAGTGTATCACGGTATGTAAATAAACATTAAAGATTTATTTAAACATAACAAGGTTAGCTGTAATTGAAAATAAATTGTTTGCATTTTTCGAATATTTCACTAATTTACTTATTTGCGTACTTACCATTACAACAAGTGTTCAAAATGATGATCCTGAACATCGACGCATTTTTTGAAACGTGTCGATACAGATAATACTGCACGACAAATTTCATTCGGATCAATCACAATGCAAGCTCTTCTTATACGCTCCTTCATGTTTTCTCTTGTTGTCAGCATTTCATTGTACACTTGTTGTTTTAACTTTCCTCACAAATAAAAATCCATAGGTGTTAAATCTGGGAACGTGCGGCTCATCTGTTGTTTTCTGACCGACCAATTCAACGATCTCCAAATTTTCTGTTTAGCAATTCAGTAATAATCCGTGCAGAATGAGCAGAACATCCATCTTGCTGGTACCATACTGATTGTTGTACGTTTAGTGGAAGATCTTCTAATAATAGTAGCAATATTTCTGTTAAAATCTGAGCATACTTGCGACTATTTAATGTTCCATCTATAAAATGAGGACCAATTATTTTATCATAAAGAGTTCCGGCCCAGACATTTATAGACCAAGGTCTCTGCCTGTCCACTTCTCTCATCCAATGTGTTTTCTACTGACCAATAGTGCATGTTGCAAAGATTTACTTGTCTATTGTTTGTAAATGTAGCTTCATCAATAAATAAGATTTTAATGACAAACATATTATCTTCTTTGTAGTGCCCATTCACAGAATTGTATACGATTTTGAAAATCATTGCCATGTAACTCTTGATGAAGTGAGATATGGAAGGGATGAAATTTGTTGGAATGGAGTATTCGCAGAACACTTCGTCGACCAATACCACTTTCACGTTCGAACTGTCTTGTCAAACTGATATGTGGATTTAGTGCTATAGCGGTTAAAATGTTCGTTGAATTTTCGTCGTCAGTTGCTTTCTTGATTCATTTGCATTTTTTATTATTCACACTTCTTGTTTCTTGAAAAGTTTGTACTATGTTTGAAAAAACAGAGAATGAGGAATGGATTCAATTATAGATTCGTCTTAAAATGCTTTATCAGAATGTAAGTAAAAAAACATATCATTCCATTTAAAAAAACAGATTTGACCTTTGCTTATCCTTTACGCCTCCACCTAGAAAACAATTATTGATATCACATTATGTGCCCCTCGAAACCAAGCAATTGTTGTTTAATATTTTTTCTTCTATTGTTAAAAACAAGCAAGTTATTTAGTCTTTTCCTAATTCTAAAGATTAGAAAAAGACGAAGAGTAAGTTAAACTGAGATTAAAGTTAATCTAAATTGATAGAAATGGGTATAAAACTTCTAAAGTCTATTCTACAATGTGTTCTTTCCTGTTTTTGGCTTTTCTTCTCTCTTTGCAACCGTTTTATTGACAATTACACTTCTTGCTATATGTTTCCTATTTTTTCCAAAGTTCGTTAACTTTTATCTTGGGCGAAAAAAACCGGATAAGAAGCAAAAAAACAAGATGTAAAAAATAGCAAAAAGCAGAAAACAGAAAACAAAAAGTATTCTACATAGCAGAATAGGTTTAAGTTTGGTTTTTTTAAGTGGGGTTGCACGGAAAGAAAAATACAGCCTATCTTAATGCTAATTGCTCTAATATATTTTGCAAGTATAGTTTAAGAAAACTTGTAAATTACAAATGATTTTACAACGGTTTACAACGTTTTGGCCGCAGTGCGCTCACTCGTCGGGATAGTACATAAAACGTGACTTTAGTTTTGTCGTGACTCCTTTTCCCCTCTCTTCGACAAACTGAGCACGTCCATTGCGCCACCGACCCTGGTTCGCGAGCGCTTGTCTTCCCCAGGCACTATGTGCTAATTTTGAATCCGAATTATTTAGTTTTTAACACTCCCTTTTAATCTGGATTCAAACTTTTACAATAGCAAAATTATTGATGCACAAACAACAAAACAAAAAACTTATTAAAAAAAATAAATCTTATTTTACTTATTCCTTTTGTCTCTCTTTCTCCCTTTTCCCTCTCCTTCTCCCCCTCCCTCTCTCCTTTCCTCCCCCCCTCTCTCTCTCGTTCTTTTCTCTTCAATTTTATTTTACTTTCATTTTTTTCCATTTTTTAATATAATTGCACATTTTAATTTATCTAACATAATATGATAGTTTTTAGCCAACTAAGTTATTTATCACAAACTTTACAAAATTTAATAGTTTCGTAAATATATCTGCTGTCTGATTTTCCGAACTACAATATTTTACTATATTATTTTCTATTTTTTACTTGTATAAATCGAAATTGAACATTGAGATGTTTAGAACGTTTATTTAATACTATACACCTGTCTTTATCAAATGTATCGCGTTCTAATTATCTATAATACGTAAATTTCCGCAATTATTGTTTTATTTTTCAATTCCTTTAATACCACCTTTAGATATAGAACGTGTTGGCAGGCTTCGCATTCTTCATGCCGTATATCTCTAAATGTTCCTTGTTCAATATAGTTTTCTTGGCTCACAAATAAACCTACTTTTCGGTGACTCGCCGAACTTAATGAAACTTAGTACATTTGTAGAGCAGACGAAAATAATAGACACGTATTTTTTCTTATATCGGCAATGATACAGGTTTAAAAGTGTAAACTACCCTTAAAGTAATAAGTATGAGTACTCAATTTCTTGCATTTTAGTTAACTCTATTACTATTATGCTTCTGAATTTTAGAGTTGATAAACTCTAAACAAATAATGGCTTTCATGTATGAGAAATGAATTGCGAAACAAATTGGACAGATCTGGATAAAATAAGGTTCTTGACAAAATTAATAACAAGCGGAGAGAAACTATGTTTTCTAATGAATCCAGCTTGAATGGAAGAAGTTAGGATGGCTAAATTGTTCTGATCTAAATTTCCTTAATCCGAACTGATTACTAAGTAATAGATGGATTAAGGAGGAAGAGGAGGACTCCGCTAACCAATAAATACGATTGATGAAATCATACGCTCCATGACTTTAAGAGGACACGATGTAAGAGAGATCCTCTTAGACTTAGGAATATGAAATATTAATAAATGATACTATTGTTTAAGGAAAATAGAAGATTGAAATAGTTGGTTCAGTATAGAAAGAAAACGACATAAAAGTTTATCTGAGAGAGCTTTTAGCAAGTGACTCAACCCGGTCGAGCCGCGGACTGGAAGAGATATTTAAAATGAATCCAAAGCAGCTCGAGTCTCGCTCATAATTGAATCTAGCCATGCAAGTGGGTGGATTCTCCGTTGTGCTAGGAATAACAGGAATAGGGAGGGAACAGGAAGAAGAACAGATCTTGTCCATAGTTTTATGAATGAGTTTGTCATTCGCCGAGCAGGTGTTACCTGAATAAAAATCCGAAGACACAAGACGACGGTTT